TGTATAAGAAAGAGCTTTATATAAAAGAGTAGTTGTATATTAAAGACATTCCAGCCCAGTCCAGATCAAGTCCATAAGTCTGATATTAGCCCATATATCCAATACCAATCTATAAATTCCTCTTCAGACTCACGCAACATATGCAATGACACTGAATGCAGGAAGGTCACAGGCCAGTGGGTAGAATGTCATGTGGATCCAGTGGTGGTAGAAGCATCTCAGCACTGGTGTGGGTTTCCATGTGGCTCCTCCAGTTCAAGGGCTCTAGCTCCATCAGTGTAGCTCCATGTGCCTTCTTAGCAGGGAGAAGAAGTAGAGCGAGTGTGTGTCCTACCTCCAATAGCCCCATGTGGCTTGTCAACAGTAAATGTCTCCCAGGGAGATGAATCAGAGAGAGTCTCCTGCCTCCAGGGAGGAAGGCAGGAGTTCCCAGAATCCTCAGGAGACAGTCGTACCCACACAGAGGCCTCATTGACTATGGCCTTATTGACAGGCTAGACTCCACCCCTTCATGAGTTGACAGGAGATTATGTAACTGCTACAGGCTCAGACTGAGCAATTGTGAAATGGCAAGGGATCCCGCAGTCTCTTTCTTTGCTGTGTGGGGTGCCTGTGAGATGGAGCTGACTTGATGGCACCGAACAACAATATTTATAATTTAAGAAATCTTACATTTAAGTAATTTACAATGATCCTTATTACAGAGCATCCCATTGTCAAATTCTAATGAACATCACTAAAGGATCCGTATGATTGGGTATGGGAGAAGGTTCTGGAGTCGGAGCGTGTGCTACCTTGAATTACTGCATCTGGTGACATCCACCCTAGCAGAGGCACTGATTAAACCCCCAGCCAACCTCTCCCTTGATCAGGGTTGTAAAAGCACTGCAAGAAGAGGCCTGCTTTCTGTGCACCTGTGTGTTGCGTATGTATGCCTTGTGTGTCTAAGATGGAAACAACCCCTTCCATCATGTTTTTTTTTTAAACTGACTGTACACAAAACAGAATACCCCACTATGCGGGAGCCCATCTCTTTCCCAGGCTTGTTGTGTAATTATGCAGTGGTGCCTAAGATAATTATAAAAGACCTCAGCACTAATAAAACACCAACTGGCATTCTCCACCATAAGCAGAGGGGAAGGACAAAGGGAATGGTTTCCCGTAAAGACGAAGCTGACTGCTGCACTGCACAGTTGGAGGTTCCAAGCTAACCAAGCCTCAGTGTTCTTTTTTCTAGGCGGCCCCACTGGTAGGGCACTTTTAGAATGGGTGTGCTTTTTCTACTGCTTGCTAGATGAGACTCCTCCTCTACGCTGCATTCACCAAAAAAAGACAACACAGATAACAAACACATTACTTGGGAAGAGGACTGTTTTCCTCTTTTGCACAACAGGAGCTAGAGAAATGTTTCTATGAGGGGTTTAATGTGTGGAGACTGAGCAGCATTTCTGAGTTGTTGAGTTGATCTCTGGGAGGTACAAACAGTTATGCGCTAGACTGCTGGCCTATGGAAAGATCGAAGGTTCAAATGTACCCAGAAATACCTCAGTAGAAAGTGCTGAAGATCTACTTCCTAAATATAAGCCAGTGAAAACCCAATGGAACATCGATCTACTCTATCATACCTGGGCCTTTATTCCTGTGTTAGAGGCATAAGAACAGACAGGAGCAAGGAGCCACCGCCAAGAAGTTGATGTTGACTCATATATATATTTTCAAGATATGAACAACAGTATGTATTTGAAATATATAATAACACATTATATGAAGTTACAATTATTATATATATTAATCGTGTGGTCCCTTTAAAGAAAAACATTTTATTGGGGGTTCTGATTCATATTAACCCTATAGACAGAGTAGAACTGTCCCTGTGGATTTCTGAGGCTCTAAATCCTTATGGGAGCAGAAAGCCTCCTCTTTCCCCTTCAAACTGCTGAC